TTGAGAATGAAGATTATTTTATACCATCCCACTCTTTATATTTTGTTAGAAGTGAAATAGTGAACCAGTTAATTGGAAATATTGGTAAAATACAATAGTTTTATTGTCACAAATGGGTTTTTATGCTATTTTCTGAATAAAAGTTACCTCTTACCTCATCTCTATATAGCCATGATCAGAAAGAGGTGATCTTGAGGACAGTAGGTATGCAGTTATGCAAGAAGATCTCAATTAAGGTTAAGGTTATTTGCAGTCTTGGGCTCTCAATTTCTGTCTGTAGTCATACAGATTTCAATGCAGTATGAAAAGATTTTACAAGGCCAATATTACAAGTAATGGTTGTGAGAGTCTTGGGAGGACACACTGGAGTCTAAGACACCCTTTGGTCCAGAGGTCCTTCAAGGGAGTCCTAAGATGGACCCTCTAGGCTGGGAGTTCTTTCTGCAAATAGTTGCCTTGGTGAGATACATAGACCAGTCATCACAGAGAGGTGGGTGATGGGGCACCCAGGCTGTGGCATTCGGGTTCCAGTGTTTGCTGAGGGCAGGGACATGTGGAAGAGAAGACAATGGCTGATGCCAGTTCAACCAGAATGATTTGCATACTACTGATCACTTACTTTGAGGGTATAAATTTCTAAACTTACAAGATTTATTTTTTTGAAAATTAGAAACAACATTGGTAGGACACTGGGTACACTGTGTCTAAACTTCTAAAGTCATTGTGGGTGAGGGTATTCTAATTGCTTGAGCTGAGTGGATTTAGGGGGACTTTACTATTTTAAAAGGTTATTTCAGTTATGTTTGGAAATAGTGATGACTAGGGTAAATCGTGTTCAAGTTTTTCAAGTTGCAGCTTAAGAGGCAGCCTGCACTAGCAATCAGTCATCTTTAGACTTAAGCAATCTCACTTTGAATAGTGACTGTTTTGCACAGTAAAAAGGGAAACACTTCCTCTTGGTGCTTGGAGAGCATCCCTGCTTGTATCTACAGCCTGAGTTTCACTGTGAGGTGCTGTGTCTCAGTTTTCCAATATTCTTCATTCTTGCACTAAACACAAACTAGCAATGTCCTAAACTAGTTGCTGTGTTTGACAATACATTTACAATACCTTTTAAAATGAAACATGTATATATGCAAATGTAAGCTACCTTTATATATAAATCCACAAGAGTGTATGTAGATATGTTCACCCTGCATGCAACACCTAGATCAGGAAAGAGAGCATGACCAGCTCCTAGAAGTCTCCTTCATGCTCAGGGCCCAGGGTCTCCTGAAACTTAGTTCCTTCTTTTCACGAGAGCAGATTCCAACCTCCCCAACCTGGATACAGTGATGTCCTGTTGGCAGTTTGAAATTTACCAGAGTGGGTACATTTATACCATAGAAATTAGCAAACACTATAATTGTTCTATCTGTGGAGTCAGTCTGTTAGACCACTAACGTTTCTACCTGAAACTGGACATTGTTCCCCAAATCTACCCTCAGATGTAACCATTTTCCTCACTTTTAAGATACGAGATTGGGTTTTTGGGGAACTTTATGTGTTCTGTCAATATTTCTCAAAGGCAGACACTATTTCTCTTTCAGTTAATCCTTTTACAGTATCTAACTTAGTACAAGAATTTTATAAATATTTATTGAATAATTAGATTATTTTTAAGTATGAGAATTGCATCCCCAACAGATCAACCAACCAACCAACCAACCAACCAACCAACCAACCAACCAACCAACCAACAGACCTTGACAAGTTGGTTATCATCAGATTACATCTTAATCAAGTTATTACATGTTCATTTTTCCAATATTCTAGACTTTTGTGTGTAAAGCCAGGAAGAACCTTCATATTATAGCTGTTTACACCTTGTTAGTGTTGTAACATTAACTTTGCTGTTTCTTTTTTTCTGCCATAAACTCTGCCTGGAAAGGAAGTGCTAAAGCTGCCTAGACTGCACCCGGAGGTGAAAGCCAGTGTGTGGTGTTCTAAACTGTTCATACTCAGAAAATAAAGCTGGGGTGAGAGCAGCCAGTCCAAGACTATCACAAAACGTAGCTCATAAAATCTCTAGATGTTTTCTTTAAAGGTGGTAGAGACAGTTGAGGATAATCACAGTGTGAGCAAGATAGCACGAGCACTAGAAACAAGTGAAAAATACTGCTAATAAAACAGAGATGTGGCAACAGGGAGCAAGCCTGGGCACGGGGAGGGCCATTGCCTGGCTTTTCTTTTGGCCCATACATGATGGTGTGCAAGTCACTTCATTTCATCTGTTCTCCGTTTATTTTATTCTGACAAGAAGGGAGTTGGTCTACATGAACAGTCATGTTCTTTCTAAAGCAGGGAAGCTTCAGTTCCCTCAGCTCTCTGTGCGCTACTGCTGGGAATGAACACCCATCCTGATGGCCAGAGTGGTGTAGGGCATCTGCAGCTTGGCCACTCACCAGGCTGAGACCTTTGCCAGCCAGGATCAGATCATTCAGTGTCCCCTCTGAGACCTTCTTTCTGCCACTAGTGTCTTCTTTGGCAAGTCATGAACAGACAGCCAGAGTGGCCACTGCCTCCTCTACCCACACTGAAGATTTTGCCTGTAGCAAATGTAGCAAACTGAGGCTTTAGAGGCATTAGGCTATTTTTTTTCCTTCAAAAAGTAGGGTTATGATTAAATCAAACCTGTGAAATCCCCTCAACTCAGGCCCATGGCATCCTTTGTTTACTTCACGAGTAAACTTGCTACAAAATTGCTAATGGAAGCTGAATTTAAAGTAACTAGTGAATGTGAAAGTTTTTCCCAGCAAGTGCGGGGACAGGTTTCTGAGGCAATTTGGCTTTACCAAGACACCCAGAACACATATTACCTGAAAAAATGCCCACTTTTTAGGGAGGATTGCTCCTGAAAAGCAAATCAAAACAAAGCAAAGCAAAAAATAAAAACAAAGCCAACCTCAAATGGCCTCTAAGTTAGGCCCACAAATTACTGCCTTTTCTGAGAAGTGCACCCGTGGGTACAAGGCTGTAGTGGGTAGCCATTCCAGCTTTGATCGTGCCCACCTCTCCCCTGCCCTTCAGTTCTGCCCTGGTGCTCCCATAACTACCTTCAAATCCATGTCCTCCTCTTCAAATATATGTCTTACTGAGTGCAGTTAGTGTTTCTTGTATGCACATGGGTATGGGGCTGGCTGCTTGAGCAGCAGATAGTGTTAAAATACAAAATTTATCTCAAACCCAAAGTCAGGAGCAGGAATGGGAAGAACAAATCTGTTACAAATTTGGAAGAAAAAGAACTTTAATACTGAATACAGTCTTCCACTTAGGGGAAGTGAATGCACAGCGTGCAGGGGTGTGTGTTCATCAGCCTGGCCTTCTGAAGCGTGACACAGTTAGAGCAGGGCAGTGTCACAGTGTTCTTGTGAACACAGACACCTGTGATTTGCGTCTTCAATGCTCTGCTCTGTAATAGAGGAATGACGGGGTTTGCTTTGCAGAATTCCAGGATGAAAGCGCCTGTGTGTCAAGTATCTGACACATGTCAGGCAGGCAGCTTTTTGTTTTAACTTGCCTAGGAACTTTTTGAGTTGTGTTTCATGTACATAATGAGCTTCTAGCAAACTGGGAAGATCTTAGAGGCAGCATGCACCACTGCCTTCAGTACAGTAACTATTTCTAATGCTTACTCTGTGTTCAATGTCTTACATTTGTGTGTTGGAAATATACAAGGTCCATAAGCAAAGAGAAGAAGAAAAAACTTTTGTTTCAGAGGGAGGGTGAGATCTAAATACTATTCTGCTGGCATTTCTAGATTAGATTGAGGGCAAGGCGAGGAATTGTTATTAGGGAAGTCAGCCTCCTGCTTTAGTTCTGTTTTACCTGTGGTGTTAGGTGTCAAAAAAGAATTAAAGTCATTAGCCTCTGTACCGTGGTGGCTTTCAAGCTCTGTTACCTCTTGGACAGTATTGATGAGTGGCTAAAGTATGTCAAATTAGATTGTATATAGGGTGAGTCAAGAGATGAGAGGTCATTAACTGAGGACATGCTACATAACAATTTGCTGGACATTTCTCAGTCACAGACCAGTAAGCAGAACCAGCACCTCTCAGGGGAGGGGGAGGGAGATTGACTTGACGTTAGCCTCTGCTTTACTTGACCTGAATGAAGTGAAAGAAGCGAGTGGACTTGTTGTACTGAGTTCTAACCTCTGCTCTTGTGAGTGTAGCCTCATTTGGACACAGTCTTTATGTAATCAAGATCAGACGAGGTCATGCTGGTTCAGGGTCCCGAGTCAGTGGAAGAAGAAATGTGGGCACATATATGTGTACATTCAAGTACAAGATACTAATGCCCTGGGAAGATGGAGGCAGAAATTAGAATAGTACCTCTCTAAGCCAGGAATTAGCAAAGATGGCTGACAATACCAGAGGCATGGGGCAGATTTTTGCCAAGAGCCTCAGGAGGAACCAACTCGGTAGATACCTTGGTTTTGGATTTTTGGTTTCTATGGTTGTGGGATAGTAAGTTCCTATTTCTTAAGACAACTGACAAGTAGTGTTGCTTTCTGTTGTGCCTGTAACTGGAGAGACTTCCATCTGTATTAATACAGATGCCAATTCATTTATTTATAGTGAAGGTTGATAGCTTTAGTTTCCTGGTTCTTCCCCTCCCCTCACATCGCTTCCCTCACACTCCCTCCTCTCTCTTCCTCCCCTTTCCTTCTCTCCCTCTATATTACCCTCCTTTTCTTTTTCTTCTCCTTCTGGATCCTCTCTTTCTCTTTCTTTCTGCCTCCTCTCTTTTCTTTCTTCCTCCCTTTCCCCTCACCTTTCTTTATCATACATATGCAAGTATTCTACCACTGGACTACACCCCAACTCAATTTTAAAGTTCTTCACAAACACATTCAATAATTATGTATTGTTATATCTTGGGCATTAAAAATAAGAATTGTTTCTTTATCCATTTTTCTCCACTCACTTTTGTTTTCTTTTTTCTTTTAGACAGTAACCAGTTTTACAATGGATTCTCTTATTGAAGCAAATAGCAAGTTTTGCTTCGATTTTTTCCAAGAGATTAGCAAAGGTGATATTCATAAAAACATCTTTGTCTGCCCTCTGAGTCTCTCAGCTGCCTTTGGTATGGTCCGCCTGGGAGCTCGAGGTGATAGTGCGCGTCAGATTGATGAGGTAGGTATCCAGAAGGATGCTGAACAGGGCCCTGCATTCTGGGTCTGCCTGCATAGGAAGCTGATCTGACTCTCAGGTGAGCTGGAGTTGCTCACTGCTCTCAGCACTTGGGCTTGGAAGCCTCTAAGGTTCCATTTCCATTCACCTTTCGCAAGGGACTTCCCTAGCCTCCCTGCCCGACAGCTTTTCCTGTCCATCTTTATCTCCTCACCTCTTTAGTCACTCCTGTCACTCTTTCTCCCTACAGTCATTGATACCAGTGTTGTTGGTAGCTTTTATATGAGTGTGTTTCCTCTCTTTCTCCTCCAATTAACTAGATGTGTATTAGGACCTAGATATTTACCCGGTAGCTTAAGATCTTCCTGGACTTTCTAATTTCATTTGTCAGAAAATCCCATTGGCTTTCTTTTTGATAAACCTCCCAAATCCAGACATTCTGAACTCCGTGGATTCTATCATCTCTTCTGCACTGCTTCTGTGGAGCGTCCCATGTTCTCCCCTCGGCAGTACGTTCTCGACACTTGGGTCCCTTGTGGAAGGAAAGTGAGTCTTAGGTTGGCCTTTGGCGTCCTTTGCCCCGTGCCTCTTCCCTCGGTGTTTTAGTCACTTTTCTACTGCTGTGACAAACCTTGTGACCACAGCAGTGTGTAAAAGACACTGTTTGATGAGGCTTACAGCTTCAGAGGGTCAGAGTCCACGACGGCAGAGACATGGTGGCAGGAGCAGCTGGGAGGGCACATCAAGACCAACCAATAGGAGGCAGACAGGACACACTGGGAATGGTCCAAGTCTTGAAACCTCAAAGCCCATAACCAGTGACACACCTCCTCCCAAAAGGCCATATACCCTCATCCTTTCAAAACTGTTCCACTAAGAGGGACCAGGTATTCAAACGTATGAACCTATGGGGGCCACACTTGTATACCTAATCCCTTGGTTTACTTTCTCCTTCATCAATGTTGACCACCTTTGAAAGGCTCACTCTGATCTTCTAATGGTGATGCTTCATCCAAGCTCCCAATCCCATAAATGAGCCTAGTCACATTTACCCACACAGCACTTCTCATTAGAGTGCATACAGTAATCAGTCACTGTGTATTTTATATATTACTGAATGATCTCCCAGAGTCCTACAACAGCACCAGGGCTGGAGTAGGCACCCACCAGACACCTGTAGAATAAGTGAGTGCACATGACAGAGGTGCTCCCTGCCCCTTCAGTAAGTGTGAGCTTCTGAGGCTGGGCTCCTACCTCCTGGGCTCTAACACACTGCACACAGGTGAGGTATTGATAACGGAGGAGGTGGACCCACAGATTAAGGCAGAATTATTTGGGGCCATCATGCTCTTGAAATTACTTGTACTCGCTGTAACATTATTTCCAGTCCTGTAAGCAGCACTTAGGTGTAGAACAGGGTTTGCATCCTCTAGGACCAGCTGGCCTGGGTTCCCCATGCAGCTCCATAACCTGGGTCTGAGTAATGTGGGGGTGTGCCTCTCCTTCCCTACTTCCTCTGAGGTTCTGGCCTCACATCATACTCACTCCCCTGACTGACGTGAAACTCCAGATCAGTGCTGTCCAATACAAATACGAAAGCCATATATGAACTTAAAATGTTTTAGTAGTCACATGAAAATGTTCAAAAGGAAAGTCTAAGTTTAATAAAAATTCAGATAATTCAACATTTTTACAATATCTTACCAATACATAATCAATATACATTTTAATGAGATATTTTACATTGTTTTTTATTCTATCCTCAAGACCCCAAGTGAATTTTATATTTACAGCCAATTAAGACTGAGCATGCCAAGTGTAGGTTAGTAAGGGTACACAGCTTGTGAATCCCTTTTGTTCCTTGGTTTGCCTATATTAATTCTAGCTTTTTCTTTTCTTTCTTTTTTTTTGTGTGTTTTGGAAAAGGTGCCATGTAGTCTGAGCTTGCCCCAAACTTTCTATGAAGATGAGGATAATCTGGAACTTCTAATCTTCCTGTTTCCACTGGGGTTAAAGGAGTGTGCCACCATACTTACTTCACACGGGGCTGGGGACAGAACTCAGGGCTGTGTACGCACCAGGCAAACACTCTATCAGCTGAGCTCGTTCCCATCCTTAAGAGTAGTCCGAGGAGGAGGGTGGTGTCCGTGACACCCACCTCTGTGAAGTGTTGTTGGTTATTTTGTTGACTTTCTATCCTGTGTACTGTCTGAAAGGCTCTATGTCATTATCACACAGGTATTACATTTCAATGAACTTTCCAAGAGTGAAAGCAAAGACCCCAATGATTCCTGTTCAAAAGACAAAAGAGAAGTGTTATCTGACAGCTCTCTGGAAGGGCAGAAACAAACGCCAGCGTCTCAGGAGCAGCAGGTGAGTCTCTGCCTGAAAACTCTGCTCTTCGACATTTGCTCATTCTGCCTGTGCTGTGCTTATTCTGTAGGTTAGGTGCAGGCTTCACGGTCGGGAGTAATCTCATGTGATCTGAAGTCCCTTTCTAAGGACACCTTTTTATGTCCTTGGTTGTCCCCCATTCCTCTCTGCCTCCCCAAACCTGGTAACACAGGACAATGACATCTCCCCGGCCAGCTCTGCTTTGCTCCTGTAAAATGCCCTTTCTTAAGTGGTGCTTAACCATTTGCTCTGTCTTTTGTTAGGCTGAATCTACAGACGAGGATGAACTGCTCGGCTGCTACTTTGGGAAGCTTCTATCCAGATTAGACAGAGCCAAAGCTTATTACACCCTGAGTATGGCCAACAGACTCTATGGCGAGCGGGAATTCCCAATCTGCCCGGTGAGTTACAGGGACTGAGGTGTCCACAGAGCATGCTCTGTGAGTAGGTAGATGGCTCACCTCTCACATAACATAGTCTATGGGGCTATGGACTGGTGCATGACTGCAACCTTCTTCCTGAGGTCCCAGACTTCAGTCTTCTTCCACCTAGTTTTCATTTTGGGTTTAGGAGTCCACTTATAAGTGGCACAGCACAGATAGCAAGGGTCACCTGATTCACAACCCATTGGCACATGCATGAGCTTCAAAGGTACTCAGATGACTGTGTTTTCCAATCAAGGTACATGGTAGTCATATTTTGTGGCTTTTCTGCCTGTTGGCTGCCCTTAAGATACTGCTCTAAGCTTCCTTATTGTGCCTCAGTCTGGTGGTTCCTATGGGAACTATTCCTTGCAGAAGGTGCATGGTGCCAAGAAAGGTGACCCCATTGGGAGCCCAAAGCCCCAGGCCTTGTTGCTGTGGCTAAGTAGCTTTTACCTGAAGCAGCATAGGCTCCAATTCAGCTCCAGTCTCAAGAAAGGGAGCCACACTGTCACTAAGTGTGATGTTGTGAACGGCATGTGACACAGCATGAGCTGGGTTAGTCAAGGGTACAGAGGTCCTACTTTATGTCACAGTAAATTATCTTACCAGATTGCTATCTTATATTAGATTAGAAAACCCTAGAATTTTGAGAGCTAAATCTACACTTGTAAATCATTTTTATTTTTTTTTAATTTAGTTAATTTTATTTTATGGGCATTGGTGTGAGGATTTTAGATCCCCTGGAATTGGAGTTACAGACAGCTGTGAACTGCCATGTGGGTGCCGGGAATTGAACTCAGGACCTGTGGAAGAACAGCCAGTGCTCTTAACTACTGAGCTATATCTCTAGCCCCATGTAATTCATTTATTAAAGAGTATACACATCAATGTTTTTGTTAATGTATTATTTATTTAAAATTATGCTAAAACACAAATGAATAAGAATATCTAATCAATTTTAAAGGTTTTTGTGAGTGGAATTAATTATATTCACAATGAACTATTATGCTTTTCATGAAACTTTGCCATCTCCCAAACAGAAAGCCCATGAACATTAAGGTGGCCACTCCCTTGATGTTAGGTGACAAGGAGCTTCTTTTTCAGGGGCTTCTTGTCCCCATCTCATCCTAATGGCCAGCGCCTCCATATGACTTTGTCTTGCCCTTTCCCATGTATTTGAATTGAACAGGAATACTCAGACGGCGTAACTCAATTCTACCACACGACGTTTGAAAGTGTAGATTTCCGGGGGGACACTGAGAAGTCAAGACAAGAGATTAACTTCTGGGTTGAAAGTCAATGCCAAGGTAAGAAAGGCCTAGCAGTGAGGCTGAAACTGCAGTGGGCACACTTTGCAGGCCGCTCATCTTCGGGGCTGGTGTTTGCATGCGTGGTGTGTGTTCACAGTTCACATGTGACGACACTGGGCAGCTGCTTAGATACTTTTGTCATTTGTTTCTGCTTTTCTTCCTCCTAGGATCTCTGGTCTTTGAAGACATTTATTTAGTGTGTGTGTGTGTGTGTGTGTGTGTGTGTGTGTGTGTGTGTGTGTGTGTTCATGTGGGCATGTGCTTGACATGTGGATGGCAGATGATAATTTGCAGGAGCCAGTTCTCTCTTCTCATGTGGATCCTACGACTTAGCTCGGCTTGTCAGGCTTATTAGCCAGTGACCTTCGGAGCCATCTTGCCGACCCATGACTTTTCAGTCTGCTTTAGTATTTCCCTGCTTTTATCACGGGCTTTCCTTTGAATGGTATGAGTGAAGCTCTGTCTCTTGATACCACACCACTGTTTGCAGCACTGAATGCATCTCTGTCCACAGGACAGAAGCTCATCTTTTCTACAAAATATCCATTTGAAACTGGAGTTCTGATGTAGTTGAGTTATTGAGGACTCTACTTTTACTTACAATATCTACCACATAACAAAAATGAATTATAATGTTGAAAGCTACAGTAGCACTCCTAATGCATTATATATACTTAGAATTAATAGAGAAATAGATTGACTAAATATGAATCTACCCATGTATATATGCTTTCAGCATCATTTTACATGATAAATTAAGAATGAAGGGAAATTTGGGAGTTTAAGACAGGGAAGTGATTTACATTAATTTTTCAATTTAGTGTATAAAAATATTTCCACAATGACATTTTGATGTACGTATGTGTATATATCATTGTAGTTTGTTAGTATCTGCCCGCCCACTCCAGCCCCTCCCCTTCTCTTTCCTTTGGTCTCCTCCTGAAATCGTCAGTCCTGCCTCCACATCCTGTCATCTGTGACTTCAGATTCACTATAGGAGAGAAAGCGTGCAGTATTTTATATTCTCTTCCCTGTCACTCACTCGTTCTCCATCCTTTCTCCCTTTAGAGCCCTTCTACTTCACATGCCCACCTCATGTCATGTATGCCCAAACCTCGTAGGGGAGGAGACCTGGGCTATTGGTCTTTCCGAGCCTTGCTTATTTTGCCTACCTTGATGACACCCACATCCATCCATTTTTCTGCAAATAACATATTTTTCTTCTTTATGGCCAAATAAAACTCGTGTATGTATGCAGTTTTTTCTCATCAATTCTAATAATAAGCATATTAAACAAGAGCTGGGCCTCTTCATTTTGTAGTTGATTATGAACTCAGTCAATAGGGGAGAAACCTGTCATTTTCCATTTTTTTTTGTTCATTTGTAGCTCACTTGCTCCTTCGTCCATCTCCCTCTCGACTTTCCCCACCATCACCATGGTAGAGACTCTAACCAACTGTAGCCTCTGTTTTATGGGGGAAGTGACATTTGGTCTTTCTTGTTAGTCATTAAGAATGAAGGCAGGTTTTGTGCCTGAATCTCTAAGTGTTAGAGAGCCTGCTTTACCTGTGCATGTATAAAAAATGAGCTCTTCATCTCAGGCCTGAGTATTAGAAGGGGGTGGCTAGGGTGTGTGGGGTTGGAGACATGCTTGTTCAATGACCTCTGGAGAACCAGAGGGAAAGGTGGTGTATCTGAAGTGAGACTGACTCAGGGCCCTTGTACACTTGATGGACTGACAGCCAGGGAACCACAATGGTTGGTTTATTAGTCACTTTTGGTACTTGGTGCAATGCTTCCTATCCTTTCTTCCACTTGGAGGCTCATACTCCTTGTTCCCTGTGCTTTTTTTTTTTTTTTTTTTTTTTTGGTTTTTCGAGACAGGGTTTCTCTATGTAGCTTTGCGCTTTTCCTGGAACTCACTTGGTAGACCAGGCTGGCCTCGAACTCACAGAGATCCGCCTGCCTCTGCCTCCCAAGTGCTGGGATTAAAGGCGTGCACCACCACCGCCTGGCTCCCTGTGCTTTTAACATGGAGTTAAGGCCAGCTTACGAATGGTGTTTCCGTAGGGGAAACTTTAAATCCCACAATTGTTTACTCCTCTTCTGTGTGTCATGGAATTCCTGCTCTTTCAAGGTCCAGTCAGCTATCAAGAGAGTAGTGGTTTGGTGAAGAAATCCTGACTGAACCCTAATATATATTATCTCTTTACTGAGTTAGCTTTCCTGATGTACATTAAGTGTAGTTAATGTTGACATGGTATATTGTAGAATCTATGTACAGCCTTTCTCAATGTAAAATGATCCTTCCTCATTAAGATCTCATCATGCATTAAAGTGGCTGGTGATTTAAGGAAGAAAAGATGTGTCTTGTAATGGATTAATGCTTGATGATAGCAAGGAACACTTCCTGTCATTTTTATGGATGCTTCTCATTCTCCTTAATATTCTTTTATAATGGAGGGTGCCCAAATGAGAGCTGGTCCAAGAGATGGAAGGCCCCAGGATCAGTGCTAGCTCAATTTGTTCCTTTTTGACTATTTGGTGTCTCCTTTTATTGCTTACAGCAAATCACTCCATTAAGAAGGGACAGTTATCATACTTTTTGAAGGCTTAATCTCTATGTGGGGTTTAGAAGGTACTCACTTCTACAAATGAACGTGAGTTTACAAAACTGAATGAATTCTTCCTTTGAGCCAAAATGAAAGAGGATGTAGAAACTTCTACAAAGTAGGCTTTACACTATGGCTGTGTGTGTGTGTGTGTGTGTGTGTGTGTGTGTGTGTATGTGTGTGTGTGTGTGTGTGTGTGTATGTGTGTGTGTGTGTGTGTCTGTCTGTCTGTCTGTTTATATGTCTACCTATCTATCTGACTGTTGGTTTATCACCTACCTATCTGTTTATATGAGACAGCACATACTGAACTTCAAAAAATGCTAGAGAAAGGAAGTTCATACTGTAGTTATTCTATCCAGGAAATTATAAAAGTCAGTTGATTAGATGTATAGTATGAAACATAGACCATAGATGTCTGGTGGCAATTTGCAACCAAAAGTGAACCAGAGAAGATACTCTTGTTCCCAGTGCTCTGAACTGGGTCTTCCTCCAGGCGAGTGAGACTTCTCCCCCAACAACCCCTACCCCTCTTCAAGAGCCCCATAGCCCTCTAGGTTTCTTGGGTAAGATCTTGAGTGAGGCACTCTCTAATGTCTCCATGAATACTTCTCATGCAACACAAGCTCAGGTTATTCTCTGTCACCTCTTTTTCTCTAGGTAAAATCAAGGAACTGTTCAGCAAGGATGCTATTGATAATGCAACTGTGCTGGTGCTAGTGAATGCTGTCTACTTCAAGGCCAAGTGGGAGAAAGACTTCGACTGTGAAAAGACCGCTGATGCACCGTTCTCCCTAAGTGAGGTACTTAACTGTATTAGCCTGCGGTTTCTAGGCAGTCCACTCCTAATCTCCGCTAATGGTGATCATAGTGTCTAGACTTAAACTTAATGCTTAGATCTGTGAGTTGTGGCTTACAATTATAATAAACATTTTGTGTTTTACAAAAGACAGTACCCAAAGTTCACTAAACATTTTAAATAAGCTATTCTGCAACACACAAAAATTTCAGAACATTACATACACACTAAATACATATAATCTGTCAATCAATTAAAAGTTTGTGTAGACTGGCACATCTCTAAAAGTCAAGCACTTATGAGGTAGATGCAGGAGAATCACCACAAGTGCAAGTCTATCTTTGTCTACATAAAGAATACCAGGAATCTAGAGCTGCATATTGAGACCTTGTCATAAAACACAACACAACACAACACAACAAATGTATACACTTAAGAAAAGAGATGGGCCTCTTCATGTTGAATTTGCTGAAATAAGAGACAACTCAACTTACCTCTAAATGTTCTACCCCCATTCTCGGCCATCTCCCTCTAGATTTATCGATCCCCTATCCCCTTGTCTGTAAACACTGAGTATATGTTTCCTGGGGAAAGTGATCTGAGTGTTGTTGGCAGTTCAGGAAAGAGAGCAGATCAACCAGGTAGTTCCTGAATATTACCACAATGTACACTGAAGACTCTGTGCTTTCTGGACTTGCTTTGGCTGAATTAGGGTATGGGAGATAATTGAGTTGAAAATCTAGCAGTAAGTAGTCTCGAGAGCTGAGAAACTGATGAAGGGCAAGTGAGGATAAAGTGATTGATTGGTAGGCAGGGGGATATTTTAGGTTGGGTCACTGGCTTGACTCTGGACTTCCGGAACAGATCCCTCCCTTTTTGAAGCACCATTGTTCTCATCGATGTTGAGGCTATGGGTGTTTGAGCTCTCCACGATCTTTTGTGATTACCTCCATGTCCACTGCAGAATGAGAAGAAGACAGTAAAGATGATGAATCAGAGGGGTCGCTTTAGAATTGGCTTCATTGAGGAGCTGCAGGCCCAGATCCTGGAAATGAAGTACACCATGGGGAAGCTCAGCATGTTGGTTCTTCTTCCATCCTGCTCAGAAGACAATGTGAAGAGTCTGCAAGAGGTACAGCGTCATTGTCACATCCATTCACACTCCACATCACTGAGGAGTAGCACTAGCATCCCTCATCCAAGGAGGATGCTATCTCAGTCAGTAGACATTAGAGACATGTGGAATCTGAAGGAGATTGGATATTCATTTTTTACTTGTTTCAATACAATGAGCAAATGCCAGAAATGTCAGAACAAGAGATTTGCCCCTCAAATTCACAGATTTCTATAATAATTTTCCAGACCAAAGAATCTGGATGCTGCGTAGTTTGAAAATTTCCACAAATGAAACAGCTTCTCCTTCTCCTAAAATAGCTTGACCTTTGGCCTCTGCCATATTGGAGTGTTTAGCTGCTGGGGAGGCCCAGATACTTCTGTCCTGGGAAGAAGGGCAAAGAGAAGATAGGGAGAAAGATAAACAAATAGACAAGAGATGAATAGAGATATCAACATGGTAGTTTTAGTAACCACCATTGTTCAAAATATATGACACAGCAGCATTATTTTAATATATACTAAGTGCATTACATGCATTACTTTGGTTAGCTCTCAGAAGAGTCTTATCATATTACCTTTGTTTTATGGAAAAGGAAATTTTACTTCATAGTGGCAGGGCTGGCCTGAGCTTACCCAACTGAAATTTTCTGGTCTTTGAGCATGAATCTGCCAAATTTCAAAGTGCCCCGGGATGCTGCTTATCCTGTAATTTCAAGAGAGGAAATTTAAACAAAGTCTACATAGGAAAGATTGAAATGAACTTATTTTGAGGTTTAGAGAAAGTCCTTGGAGTGTATAAATCTGTCTATTAAAACAGATTAACTCAGGAATTTTGAAGTAATTGTGATACTTTTGCTGGCTTATAATCTGACATTAAATATATATTTTTTTCTCCTTTTAGCTTGAAAGCAAAATAAGCCATGAAAAAATCATGGCCTGGAGTAGCTCAGAAAATATGCCAGAAGAATCAGTAGCCATTTCCTTCCCCCAGTTCACCATGGAAGACAGCTATGATCTCAACTCTGTTCTACAAGACATGGGCATTAAGGACATCTTTGATGAAACTAAGGCTGACCTGACTGGAATCTCTAAGAGTCCCAATCTACATTTGTCCAGAATTATCCACAAGAGCTTTGTGGAGGTGGACGAGATGGGTACCGAGGCAGCCGCAGCCAGCGGCGCTGTGGCTGCGGAGAAGTCCCTTCCTTCTTGGGTGGAGTTCAATGCCGATCACCCTTTTCTCTTTTTTATCCGACACAACCCAACCCACACAATCCTTTTCTGTGGCAGGGTCTACTCTCCTTGAAGACCCTCTGGCTCTTGGGTGCTTGAGGTGAATGGCAGCTTAGTTTCCCATTTGTAAAACACGACACTTGTGTTTTTCCTGACCACCTTCTGTCACGGGGGACACTCTCAGTCCTTCAAGCCTCTCCCGAGCTTTGTCCTGAAAACCTCTGTCACCGGAAGCCAGTTCTCCCCTGTCTGTTAATGAAGTAGCCTTGCTGTACCTCTAATCTTGACTGCCCTAAACTTTTAAGCATATAAATTCACCTTCTATGATTTGGAGGTCAACACAATGCAGACTGGTATTACTTTTATTTAAGTTACTTCCCTCCTTATGAAGAAATATTGTAAGTTTGTCTTTAAACCATCTGAGAGACTGAAAACTCAGAATGTGAGCAAATGCATTTGGGAAATTTGGCTCTACTTGTAGAGTAGTTATAATCACGGGTACCCCCTAGGCAAGACTCGTGACCCCATATGTGATGTACTTCATGGAGATGTCCTGTGATATCTTTTCACTCTAGAGAAGATATAAGCTAGAAACTTATTTAAGTGATGGCTCAAGGATGTGTGCATGGCCCAGTCAATACTCATTTTGCACAGGAGAATGACATTTCTTTTATGTGTTTAACCATGACTCAAGAAAGTGGCAAATCTGCAGGGGTAGCATGGCCGAGCGGTCTAAGAAAGTGGCAAATCTATTCTAAAGGTTTGGTGTTAGTTTTCTATAAGGGATTCTTTTGTAATCATGCCCCTTAGGCCTCATTACCATGAGCTCCCTCTATCTGCTCTCCCTCAGAGAATACTCGTTTATAGCTAGCTTCTCCTAAACACTAGAGTGTTGAGGCTGGGGAAGAAACTGGCCACCATTATGGATGGCTGGGAGACCCTCTCCACTGTTTATTCTTTCTGACATGAATGTATTTAACCTTCTAGAGGCCTAATGCTGGGCATACAGTGAGAACAGTCCTTGACTGGCAACAGTGTGTATGAAAAGCCTTTACAGGAAAACTTTTGGTTTCATGTCAAGTTCCAGGCTACTAAAAGATGAATGAATGCATGTTCTTGGGCCCCCACCTTTAGAGTTCATGACCTCTGCTTTACCTGGATGCTCTGGTATGACCGCTGGCACTTCCAACATGAGGAACTGGTCAGGCTCTGCTCTAACAAGCACTCTTGGCGTGGTCCAGCTTTCCTGCCCTCCGTAGTGACTGTTCTCCTTCAAGTATACAGGGAAGGGTGGCTGCAGCAGGTTTTTCAGGAAGCTGGTCGCCTCGGCCTGATCTGAGGCTGACCTCCTCCTTCTTTCCTTAAGACTTCTCTCTGCTGTGAGAAGCAATCCCCACATTCTTCATGAAGACTTCTCTCTGCTGTGAGAAACAATCTCTACATTCTTCATGCAGATTTCTCATTTTTTAGGTTTATTTACAAAACAATTTGAAATGCTAGGTACTTTGAGGAAGGAAAGAGCTCACTCTTTTTAAGGCTTCCTTTACTTTATTTTATGTATATGGGTGCTTTGTCTGTTTGTACATCTGTGCACATGTGTGTACAATGTCCATAGAGACCGGAAGAGAGTGTTGTTGGATCACTTGGAACTGGAGTTACAGATGGTTGTTAGCTAGCATGTGGATGACAGGAACCAAACCCAAGTCCTCTGGAGAACAACAAGTGCTCTCAACTCCTGAGGCATCTCTCCAGGCCTAGGAAGGATTTGCCAAGACTGACTCCCTAGAGACAGAAAGAACCTTCAGATCAGTGGACTGGGTAACTGCTAGGACACAAGTAGGTCATGGCAGCCACGGTTATTAGTTCTTCCATTTTCCAGTGCAGTTCCCTCATCCAGCAGTGCTGACAGGAGGAACAGATGGAGTGATGCAGCTTTCTGGTGATGAGAGTGTTTGGTAAGGAAACTCTGGATACAGAGGCCATAGTCGGCCCTCTACTGATGCCCCAGACTCTCCATGATTTTATTGTGACCCATCTCCGCTTTCTGATTCTTGTTTTGTCTACTGCATCTTTTCCCCATCAAACACCTCAAGTTTTTTTCTTGAGCTGGGCAAATTGGAACTTGCCACTTCATGTAACTGCTGTTTATTTCTTTTGCATGTGTAGTACTTTGAAAAACACCCTATCATTAGCTCGAGGCTATTTCAACCTGGGCAACAGAGTGGGAAGATAGGCAGTTGGCTCAGTGGATATCTTAGATCTGCAGTTGAGTGCCAGTCTCAAATATAACCGAACTCATAAACTGTACTAAGATATTAAAACTGCTAGAGAAATAACACTGTAATGTAAGACTTAATAATTTTTAAAGGTGAGAAAGAGGCAGCATTGGTTTCTCAGTGGTAGAATTCTACACAGGAGGCCCAGGGTGGTTTCCCAGCCAATGCACTTCTGAATTTTCCTAAAACAAAAAAAAAAAAAAAAAAGGAAAGAAAAATAATTCACTGGAAAATATGACTAGTGAAATAAGTCAAGTAAGAATGTTACTCTTAGAATTTATGGGAAATAGTAGGAGTTGTAGATATAAAAGGAGGGATGAGGGTTGGGGAGATGGCACCACTGGATAAAGCACATTTCATGGGAGTGTGAAGATCTCCAGAACACACAGTGAGCTGGACACACAGCAGGTACATCCAGATGAGTTCTACTGCACAAGGGGAAATGGAAGAGAATCCCGGAAGCTCTCAGGGTAGCTAGTCTGGTGTATGCAGTGGGATTGTTGGTTGTTGCTACTTTAATCTTTTGGGAAAGGAGTGCTACCAAGCTCCCAAACAAATCACATGGAGGCTTATTCTTCCTTATTAATGCCCAGCCTTAACATGGCTTGTTTCTAGCCAGCTTTTCTTAAGTTAAATTATCCCATCTATCTTTTACCTCTGGGCTTTTACCTTTTTTTTTCTATTCTATATACCATTCTTTCTTTCTTATTTCATTGCTGGTTGTGCTGCTGGCCCCTGATGTCCTCCTCTCCTTCTCCTTTTCTTTCCTTTTCTTTTCCTTTTTCTTTTTTTGAGACAGGGTTTCTCTGTGTATCTTTGGAGCCTGTCCTGGAACTCACTCTGTAGCCCAGGCTGGCCTTGAACTCACAGAGATCCACCTGCCTCTGCCTCCCAAGTGCTGGGATTAAAGGCATGTGCCACTACCACCACCCAGCCTCCCTCTCCTTTTCTTGCTCCTTCAATCTTTCTTTCAAGATTTCTCCTTCTATTTATTCTCTCTGTCTGCCAGCCCCACCTATCCTTTCTCCTGTCTGGCTATTGGCCATTCAGCTTTTTATTAGACCAATCAGGAGTTTTCAACAGGCAAAGTAATATAGCTTCACAGATTTAAACAAATGCAACATAAAAGAATGAAACACATCTTTGTATCATTAAACAAATATTCCATAGCTTAAAAATATATAACATATCTTCAACTAATTCTCTGCAACACAGTGGATAACAACAAAAGATCCAGGCTCAGAACAGCAGGAGGGAGATGACCAACACTTGAAGTTGCCCTTTGATCTGCACGCTCGTGCACACACACGAGAGAGAGAGAGAGAGAGAGAGAGAGAGAGAGAGAGAGAGAGAGAGAGAGAGAAAGAGACAGATAAATGGACACCAGGAAGTAAATCTAAGAATTATGATGTTCCTGAAAAACAGACATGCCAAGAAACTTTACAAACAAAAGTTTGAGAAAGATATAAGGATGTGAACAGTGACCAAAATATTTTATATATAAAAGATAAAAATCGTATGGGCCTAAACATATTTTTACTTATTCTCTGAGAATTTCATACATGTTTAAAATAAATTTTGATCATACTCAGCCCACTTTCTCCCTTCAAGTTTTGTCTGACTACATCCACAGTTCAAAACATTTATTTTGTGTTGGATTTTGGAGAACAAAAAAAAAAGAAACCCTAGTTTTGAAGAGGAAACACATGTTTAAAACTTTTCACAGCCAAGTTGACTTTTGTGTACAAACCAATAGAAAATGATTCTCTTATATTTCTGTGTATGTAAATGTGGGTATGACTAACCCTAACACCTGTGCTGTAAATATCAGGGAAATTAAAACAAAATACGTGCTGTTTGAGTGGACTCTAATGTAGTAAAAGACTAAAAACCCCGCCAAGAAATTGGTCCAGTAAAAATAAATCCTCAGTTTACTCTCACAAGAAGAAACCCCTTATTTAGAATTTTTACCATCCCTAAAGTTGTCAGCAGCCACGACTCTTCCCATGAGCACCCATATTTTTTTTTAGATGTTTGCTCCATGTTTGAGATGAGTTTCACATTTCAGAATAATAGTGCAGCCACAAACTCTCTGAATTAGGGATGTGATAAGCCTAATACTTCTTGGGTTATTTGTGTGGCAGTGTTGGTGACCCCCATTCTATCAAACTATCAGTCACTCACTCCTTTCCCTCATTCTGAGATTTGGTCACTCTTATTATTCACATTGAACAGGTGGCAAACTGAAGTTCAGAGAGTCAATAACTTGACCAAGATCATGCAGGAAGCAAATGTTTGAGTCTAGATTTGGACCAGGTTGGCCGTTACTCAGTTTATAACCACTACTCTATGCATCCTACTAAGCAAAAATCAAGGCTGCACGGAGTCATTCATTTTCATCTCTTTATTTTAACTGTTTGACCTGTGAGAACTCAGAACTTACCCTCAAATTTTGGGTGTAGGAGTAGAATCTGGGGTTAGAGTGCCAGTGTTTTTGAAGCTCAGTATGGAACATTCAGGAAAGTGCAGAGTACCATTGTGATGGCCGGTTTCAGGGCTGCAGTTGAAGTACTGCAGTGCATCAGACAGAGAATAGCACAGGCCTTTGTGACAAGGTCGGATCAGTGTGTCTGCTGGAGCGTGGTGGTACAGTGGTACCTGGCAATCTCAAGGGAGAGGAGAAGTTCCCAAGAAAATTTATGAGACAATAATACACTTAAATGGAAGCACATACAGTCTCTCCCACTCTTAAATTTCTAAGGCAGGCTGAGGCCAAGCCCCTAAGGGTATTCATCCAGTTTGATGAGGG